GTTGAAAGGTGGGGGGGGAGTTGGGGTTGGGGGGGAGGGGAGGCATATATTTGTAAAACCTTTTTTTAAAAAAAATCAATTTAAAAAAAGCAGCAGGCTACAAACTGAGAGAGTGTGAATTTTAGTCCTACCTTGGCATAAAAGCCAGCTGCGAAACCTTGGGCCAGTCTCTCTCAGCCCTAGCTGAAAAACCTTTCCAAGAAAACTGCAGGGACTTATCTGGGTAGTTTCTGAGGATTGGATATGATGGGATTCTTTTTTTTTTTTTACTACTGGTAAAAAAAAGCTACGCTGCCAGTAGACTGGCTTGGTGAGGGATCATGTGACTGAGCAGGCATGGCCAACTCAACGTGCGTGATGTTGAATTGGCCACACCCACTCCATCACATGACCCCCCCTCACCAAGCCACACCCACAGACCCTGCTACTAAAAAATATTTACAACTATTGCAGCCTTTCTGTCCAGGGTATGTGGTGGCTAAACTCAGAATCAGCCAAGGCGAATGGCGAGCGGGCAGCGGCTCTGGGGCCTCAGGGAATGGCACATCCCTGGGCCCCGGCCCCCAACCCAAAGTGAAGGGTGAACACGTGGCATGCTTACCTTTGGAGCAGAGTGGGTGAGGTGCAGAGGCGACTGGCAAGGTGAGGCGATTAGCTGGGCCATGTGGTGAAGGCAACATATATAGGGTGGGAGTGGGCTGGTGAGTGGGCGAGCAGGTGAGTGGGGGTGAGTGGCAAGCAGCAAGTGGGTGAGCGAGTGGACAGAGGCAGCGTCAGCCAGAGGTGATATTTACCAGTTCGGTGAACCAATCAAAATTTCCGCTACCGTTTCACTCAAACCGGTCCGAACTAGCTGAATACCATCTCTGATGCCAGTCCATGAAGTGTCATCACAAAGTTTCATTTGTGACAAAAATTCAAAACCTGCTTTGGCATTAAAACTCATGTTTATAGTTTTATGGGATGCAGATGGATTTATTCACATGAATTTTCCTAAACCTACACTACTATCAATTCAGAGTGGTACAATATTTTGAAGCAATGCTGAAACAGAGTTCAGAAGCACAAGAAAGACATTTTGCTGCAACATGACAATGCAGGGAATTGTGAAGTTAGATCTTTCTGTTTCACCCATCCACCATCCATCATAATACCAAACAGACTTTGATGGTGAGCAACTTTGATGCTGAGCTTTTTTCTAAATTGAATAAATAACTTTGTGGGCATCTGACTCAAAAGAAGAGGTTGAAAGTATTGTGAAAACTGTTGAAGAGACAAAGTATGGCGGTCTTTGTGATGGCTTTAAGAAGCTTATCTGTCATTGGCAGAAATGTAGAGTGAATTGTGACAACTATGTGGAAAAGTAAATATAAGTAACAAACGAGCTCATTTCAAGGGCAATTTTCCTGTTTAAAAAAAAATCCCCTATTTAAACTAAAGAAGGTAAAGGGATTACTTCTCA